CCTTCCGACCCTAGAAACTATGAAACTATGAAACCTTATTGTTACTGTTATTCATGACTAAAGCAAAGTCATTGTATATCTCTTCTGAGATAACAGGAGCTAGGTGGCAGGTTGATGAGTGGGAGAAGGAGAGAAGCTGTAATTTGCAAGTTCTTTTGGCACTCATATTTGGTGTGAACTCTTCAAAGAGTGGAATTAAAAAAAACACCAAACACCTTTAACTTATTGTAAAGACTAGTGTCTTGAGTCCTTGCTTAATAGCCACAAAATACTCTCCGTTAGCAATGTAAAGCTCTTTTATTTTAATCCAGTAGACAAGGCAAAGTCTCCAGGAGTTGATCCGAAGCAGCTGGCTGCAGAACTCCAAAAGGTGTCTCTACAGCAGGCCCCGCTAGTTGCATCCTCAGCAGTGGAGAAGGGATCTCATGCTCATTCTGGCACAACTTCTGCCACCTCCAGTGCTGTTCCCAGCCCTGGCCAACCTGGTTCCCCTTCAGTGAGCAAAAAACGACACAGCAGCAAGGTAAGATGCTTCCACTTCTGCTTCTCTTCTCAGTGATTCCCCAGTGATTAAAACATGATTTCACCCTGTGCCTTTAGACTATAAAGGCCTTTAGAGAATGGGTTATATATGTCTTGTGAAGTACTGAGCCTCTGTGAAGTATTACCTATAGTAAATAATGACAGAAGTAATCATTGCTTTGAGAGCTACAGAAATAGTAAAAGTAAATAAATAGATAACTTTCAGATCTACATTTTTCACTATCCCATTCCCATGAACTAATTAACTGTACTCTTAGATTTTCTTCTTCAAATTCTGTGCCTTATGCTCATGCCTCCAAATATGTATTCAAAGACATTAGCAAATTTTATCCTGTGGGAAACTAGAAATGAGCGCATACAATTATGTATCTTCTGTACGTTGTTTCAAAATAAATCTGTATTGCAAAGCCTGCACTCATAATACAGTATGTGAGAAGTACTACTCAAGCCTTGCCTAAAATATTTTATAAGGAGTTCTTGGATAAAGAAAAGCAGAACATGAGAGAGAGCTGAGATCCAAATTTCAAAGTAGTATATTTCCTAAATATACATATACCTGTATCTAGTCATGTCTGTCTAGGTGTCTTTGATAAGCACTATTGAAGCAACATCTTCAAGCCTCCTTCACTGACCAGGCACATTGTACAAGGCACTATACGAACACAAAATTAAAAGATGGTACATTCACAATCATTGGGCGCGTCCACACATGCAAGCACGTGCGCTTGCAGCAGCTCAAATAGAAGCAGTGCAAATTTGAGCCAGGGCTTTTTGCTTCAGCGCACATGCTCAGACATACACTTTGTTGTGGAGCAAATTGTGCCACTTGAGGCAAAATAACGCTGCCTGGCTTCTCCCAGATCGTCAGCCAAGGGGAACTAGATCCCTGGGCCAGCACCTGTGCTGTCCCCAGCAGTATAAAAAGCTACCCTGTCCTGGTCCCAGCAGTATAAAAAGCCACCCTGGCAAGTAGCTCAGGGCTGCTAGCTCTCAAGAGCTTCTGGGGCCCAGCCAATTGGTACCTGAGGACGCTACCCCTTGTGCAAGCTGGACTGCTGAAGCAGCCGTGACAGTTCCCTGCACCCTCTACCCGTTGCAGCAGTCTGGCAGTGGGGGCTGCTGCCTGACTGTGACCTGCTGTTCACCTGCCAGACTCAGATGGGGACTGCAGAGCCAGTAGAGGCATCTGCCCCTCTGGGCCAGCTGCCAGTGGACTGCGGTTGCAGGGTTGGCCTTTGTGTGGCACTACTGCCATTTGTACCCTGCATCTTGGCAGCTATCACCCAGAAGATGTTCTGGGTGTAGTGACCTGCTTTGAACTGTCAAAGCATGTTCTCCTGGACCCATTTGTCCAGGAGGTCAGCCACAGCCAGATGGGTCCAAGGTGCCAGCTCCGAGTAAGCAGGAATTGGCCTCCAGTGGCATCCCTAGCAGGAATTCTGGTGTTCCCTGTTGGAAAACTGAAAAATCCCTGATAAAAAAAATCCCAAAGTAACTCTGTAAAATACCCCCAAATCCATGTTCCTCCACAAGTAAAACAAAAGACCACTATAAAGACAGAGAACAAGAAAGAGACACTGATCAGTTGGACAATGTTTTATTGATATATCTTACAGTGTTAAAGCAAGTCTCTTATCATAATAATAAAGTGAATTCTAAATACATTTCATGAATTCATGAATACATGTTTTGCTGCACTCCCACAGAGTGATGGCCCCCACACAAGGGGTATGCCACCCCAACAGGGGGTTGAACCTCCCAACAGGGGGCTCAACCCCCCCACAAGGGGTACAGGCCCCCAGTGGAGGCCAAATGCCCCCCACAGGGGCTACCACCCCCCTTACAAGGCCCATATGCCCCGCTCCACTCCCCCAATTCTTGCCCCATCTGGCCCCATCCCCCACCAGTTCCTGCAGCCCCCCCAATGTCTGTCCCATCCAATCCCACCCTCCCAACTTGCACCTCAGGCCCCCATGGCTACCCCCACAACCCCAGGCACCATCACTTAAAAAAAAAAAAACAGAAAAAAACAGGAAAAAATGGGGGACACAAGCTTCTGCAGGGGTGGGGGGGCTCCAGGGCCTCCTGG